AAAGTCATTTCCTCCACAAATAGAACTATCTTTGGCATCAGATTCTATAGCAATAAACTTCATTGCTATGGGGAAAAAGAAAGAGTCCTCCAATACAGCTCCAACTAAGGCAAATCCTAAGCTGGGGAGAAAAACTGAATTGAAGTAGAGCTTCCAACTAGTTACATAATAGCCTGGTCATCTTTAGAAACCATATAGCTGACCTGGTTAATTCTCTGTGATATTACAACCAAGAACTAATGCTTGGTTGTATGAATACGAATAATTTCTGTAGACATACGATAAGCTAAGCAAAAATTAGTCATCAGCCTTAGTGAAGCAGGTTCATGAGTTTCTTTTGCATGAATCACTGCCGTAGACTCTATTCCTAGCTTTTGCCAGTCATCACACAAAAAGCTTGGTAACAAGGGAAATCAGGAAGAAAGTGCTGGTGGTGTATAAATCAGTCAATTCCAGGCCACTGAGGGTCAGAATGTGTAATGCCTGTAATGAATGCCTAGATTGAAACAAATTTAACCATAGAATATACACTAAAAGGGTAGAAGTACATAACTTGGACATAAATTATCTATTAATATTGTAAGAAATGTAATTTCATAAAATGACAGTGTAGTTAAAATTTGTTTAATTTGAATTATTGTAGTACTTTATGCTGTAATCATTTACTTTTTATTTCAAAATCATATTCTGTTTCAAATGGAGAGAAAATAATTTCCAAATTGATATATTTTTAAGTCTTGGTTTCTTCATTTATATTGAGAGAATATTCAGCTTACCTAATAACATCCTTAAAGGCTCAATTAAAATACAATTTATACTCTGAATCTTTCCCCGAACCTCCAGCTAGAAGTACTTTTCCCATCCTCTGAATTCTGCAAGGACTTTATCTGCACATCCCTTAAAGCATCACAATTAGAAAGACAAGTGTGAGTGTGCAAGGGTAGGGGAGTGTAAAGCTTAGCTGGAAAAGAACTAATAAACCTGTTAGTCCAAGTGTTCATTTGTGGGAGCGGGCTACAAAGTAGGTTTGACTCAGATCGGGCAGGCACTGATATGTCGAATTCAAGGGTTTGGCCCTTATTTGACCACGGAAGGTTTTAGAGAAGGATAGTGAGAGAAACAGAACTCTAGGAAGAGGGAGCAGATGATTCGAGGCAGGAGAGTCTGCGGAGACCATTAGGAGGCTTTAACAAGAGCCTTAACTGGGACACTGGCAGTTGTCAAGTGGCCTGCTTGTCCTGCTTTTGCTCATGATGTAGGGAGAGCTACTTTTAGCCAAAGAGAAGCATAAAAACTACTTCATACTATGGTAAAACCTGTCCAAATAGGTGTCACATGGCAAAAAGAGAGGTGGGCTGACACAAAGGATTAACCTCAGCAAGTTGCTCTGGAGGACCTGAACTCGCCCCTTCAAGGACAGCC